TTTTTAAGTTGAGCACTTTTGCAGAAGTTTATGAGAACAAAAGGAAGAAATGTATTTACTTCTTCCTTCACTAATTTTTCATGGTGGTATCTCATATCAAATCTTAGGTATATGCAACTTTCTACTCCTGTCTTCCTCTGAAGATAGGTTAATTGGAAAGGTTTTATGTCTTCAGATACAATCTTCACTCTGCTGTAGAAGTGTCAGCGAACTTTGTGCTTAAACTATAGTGCTATGCACCCATGAAAAGATTGCTCTCAGAACATCATTGGAGAAAAGGGATAATAAATTATTCAGTCAATTGAAGATAACATTTTATACTTAATTATATAATGGTTTGAAAGGTTATTGTCAAACCCAGAGATTGGAAAACTACTCTTTGAGCAAGTCTTAGTACCAACCTTTATTGACTGGGGGTTTCTAGGGGTTGTTCCATTCTTGCTAGCACAGTGAAGGAGTTGAGCCAGGTGGAATCACAGACTTCTATCACCACAGAATCCTGAACCTTATTTTATGAAACTCCTCAGCCAGAAAGGACTCCAACTCGGGGGGAGCTTCAGGAGTTTCCAATATCTGATGTGAATGGAACTCCTAGGGCTTTATCAGACTAGTGTTTTAAAGTGCTCACCCCCAAATTCTTGGCATCTTCTGCCTCCTGAAGAATTTTGGGAAATGTAATTTAGGGTGGAGCCTTTGGAATTCTCAGCTAGAAAAGTCCTTGCCTTACTAAACTACATTTCCCAGAATTCTCCAGGACACAGAAGACACTAAGAGAGCAGGGGCACTCACTTTAAAACACTATTCTGATAAAGCCCTTAGTAAAGGTAATGGTAAAGGTTTGCCCTTGACATTAAGTCAAGTCCGACTCTGGGTGGTGGGTGCTCATCTCTATTTCTAAACTGAAGAGCTGGTGTTGTTCGTAGACACCTCCTAGATCATGTGTTTGGCATGACTGCATGGAGCGCTGTTACCTTCCCATCAAAGTGGTACCTATTGATCTATTCACATTTGCATGTTTTTGAACTGCTAGGTTAGCAGAAGCTGGGACTAATAGTGGGAGCACCCTCATCCTGTGGATTCAAACCTTTGGTCTCTGATCTGCAAGTTCTGCAGCTTAGCGGTATAACCTGTTGTGCCACCACAGCCCCTTGGTAAAGCCCCTAGTGTCCAACAATTTTCTTTGTCACCCACTTGTGCCAGCATTCTGTGCAGTTTGGGGAGCTACTCTTTTGGAATGCCAATCTGCTCCCCCTAATCTCTTTTCTTGCAATTTAACACAAATTACACCCAGGTTTTGCCTTTCTGCACCAAAATAACCATACTCGATGTGAACAAACCATCTGCTGTCTTCATAATGCACAGTGATTTTCAGTGAAAATCCTGGATTTTCCACTTTAAAGCACTTTTCTTCAGTTTAGGAAAGGTTGGAGGAAGATTTGAAACTAGAGTATCCCTGGGCTTTCTGGCAATTTGAACATGGGATCAGGTTCAATTCAGCTTGATACCCTACCCAGACAGACACTACTTCCATTACAGTTACCCTGTGTAGGGACAAGCGGTGAATTGTACCTGTGTCACAAACTGGTCATTAAGCTCTGTCTGAGCACCTGACTGCTTCAGTTGCCTCTGCTAATGTCAGAACAGGGTACCCATGTGACCTCCTCTTACTTGGAGGTTGTGTGGGTGCCCCATTTGGACGTCAGCAGTGCCAACCAGAGTGTCCAGGCACTGTGATTGAGTTTTGTGGCCAGCTAGGAATTGCAATGGTGACAGAGAGAAGGATGCAGTCCTGTGGGCTGTATTCAAGATCATCTAGATAACAGTCCCAGATTCAACATGTTTGTGATGGATCCAGAGCTGTTCCAGGCCAGATTTAAACAAGCTAATCTCCCCAGTGTAAATAAGCCTTTCGACAACCTCTACATTTTGTGTTCTAAACTAAGTAAAGTTATATTGTAGCAGATGTGATCCTTGATATTTGCACCCAGAGAGTGCCTGCTTTCTGTCTGGTATAAAATCCTTTTAAAAAGAACTACCATTGTCACCCACCTTGACACAATGTTGAAATGGTGACGTTTTGTGGTCAGGGGTAGATCTCCAGGTGTTGTTGAACTGCAGTCCCCTTATCAGCATTGATTGTGTTAGCCAGCCTTGAAGTCTCACTAGCTATTGTCCAATGGCATGCTTGACTCAGTTATTTTCCCATCAACTCAGCATTCTAGCAAGCATCACTTTGTTTGTGTGCCTTGTTCACTGGGATGGCCACCACTGTGGTCTTTCATCATATGTACTTCGAGAAGGAAGAAATTGGTGGAAACAGAGCTCTTCAGTTATGTGATGAAAACGGCATAGATTTACATGGGATAGTTGGCATGTCATTTGATCTGCTGCACATCTCTAATCTATGAGTACTTGTATAGATCAAACACCACAAACAGATTGTGATTGTGGAATGGGAGGTAGGAGGTGAGAGTTATGTATATTGTTGTGTATGGCTTTGTGTGTATATGTGTATGTTTGTAGCTGACTTTTGTGTGCATTGGTCAGTGAATGGGGAAATATTAAGAGACAGCAGTTTTGAAAGGAGTCATTCAACATATGGACAACTTAGCAAGCCTAGTATTAAAACCTAAAGACCAGAAGATTATGTTAGTGGAACTGTCCTGATAATATTCTTCTTCATGAACCAGTAGGCACTATCTCTGAAAAGAATAGCTGGAGGTTTATTGCAATCAAACCAATATTGTCGTGGGTGGGTTCCAGTTTTCTATCTTCTCTTGAAAAGAAAAATTAAGCTGTCAAACACAGCTTATTAAAATGCAGGGATGAAGAATTAAAGGTCTCCATGATGTGGCAGGCTTGCTGTGCCCCTGGTTTCTGTTGCACATGCCTTCTTCCTGATCAGAGCATCAGAAGTGCTAATCTCACCCTCTCAGAAGATCCATGCTGGTCTGGCAGGTGTTCAGGGTGGATATAGATGAAAGCAGACTGCCAGAGCTGATGTGGGGTCATTGGGACAGAGGATAATCCCTCAAGGCTTGCATCAAACATTCTAATTTGTGACACTGAAATGCAGCAGGGTGTGAAGGTACCTGCTTTATGTGCCAGCTTTCCAGAGGCTAAAAATAAAGTAACGAGTGAGAAATGCTCTGAGGTGAGACCTTACAACAAGAATTTGCAATTTCTGACAGAGGGATATTGCTTCGAGTTCAATACAGAAGTTAATAATTTCCTCCCTCCATTAAAAGCAATTTATACTTTGTGGCTTGCAGATGCAGAAGAAGGTGAGAAGGAATATTCTTTTACAGACTGAAAACTGCATTGCTTTATAGCAAACTGGTGTGTGCTGTTTAAATGATCAATGAGAACCAGATTTTCCCACTGGGAATTGTGTTCATTACTAAACATCTGTGCCGATGTGAATGTACCAATAGTTATTATTATCTTTCTTCCAACCAAAATAGGTGGCTTATTTCATTATTACTATATCCTCCAGTCTTTCTCAATTCATACATTTGAATTGAGTTTCTATGACAGCAAAGTTCATAGTGTGATCAAAACCAAAACCATTTCCTTAGGGAAAGAATGGGAAGTGACTTTGCAGGTGTTGCTTGACTACAACTCCCATCAAAAGTTATTGTTGACTCTACTGGTTAGAGCTGATAAAAGTTTCAATATTAATAATACCAGTCTGGGAGGAAGTGGGGGTGCAGGCAAACTAACAACAACAACAACAACTTCTTTATTTATATTCCACCCTCTCTCCCCAAGGGGACTGATAAAAAAAATCAGTCCCTGTAGTAATGCATGTATTAACATATTACTACCAGGATAACATATACATTGTGTAGGACATGTGTTTTAAAATTTAACTGGTTGGGTTTTTTATTTTGCTTTAATTAAAAACAACTGATATTTCAAAGACTTCAGTGTGCTAAGGACAAGTGAGCAAGCTGAAAACCTCAATGCAAGACAGTTGGTAAGCTGTTGCCTGTATTTAGTGAATACCAGATACATTCTAAGAAAAGAACAATGGAGTAGCTTTTTTGTTCCATCTTTACAGGAAGCTCATTCAAGATTTCTGAATGGAATGCATAACCTCTTAATAACATTTTATAGCATCTCATTCATGTGGAATAGGCAAAGAATATATAGCTACATACATTTAAGTGTCCCTTTTCGGCAGTGTGTCAATCAGTGCAAATATCAAAAATAATGTCAAATGCTGAAAATGAGCTGATATTAATAATCTTTTCCCTCTTCTACAATATGATTGAGCAAGAGAGGATCTATTTGAGAACCCCTACAATGAATGATGCAGCCAATCCAATTTGACTATGCATTGCTATTATTGAGGGCAATAAGACTTATTTGGAATGAGAGGAAACTTTCTTGAAGAAAATGAAGGTTTTTAAAAGTAATTTTTCAGGCCTGTATATATGCACAATTTAAAGTAATGTACAAAAGACTGATGATAGGACTAATGCAAAAGTATTAATGGAAAATGCATTCCAAATACCTGATCGTGTTTATAATGCAACCAAGACAACAATAAGACACAAAAACATTGTGCAAGTTTTGAGAACCTGATGTCTTTAAAAAGCACAGGGAAATAGGAAGGCCACTCCCAATTAGTACATTCTTATTTGAAAATGAGCAGTTGTCTCACCCTTCATTAGTATGAAATCATGAGTAAGTATCACTGCAGTTTATATAATTTCAGCTTTGCATTTAGGACGTGATGAAGAATTTGTGTTGCTAATTAAGCTTGTGTCTCAAAACCGATCTTATTTGAAAAACTGCAATTGCTCAGACCAAGGAAACATGGGTTGAAGCCACTGGATAATGGGTTCATTGATATTAAAAAGCTATTTACAAGAATGCTTCTATCCAGAAAATATCTTCACATTCTAATGTCTGAGATGTGCTTTTCTTATAGCAATAGTGATCTATCTGTTTATCTCGCTGTTTCAGCAGAATTGTCTCATTTTATTTTGCAGGCTTCAGCATTCCAGAATCACCAACAAATATCCCTCCACACTCTTTGGATTTTTCTGCATGGAATTTGTCCTGGGTCATGAAAGATTCCTTCCCTTCCTTTGCTCCCAGAGGGCGACACTGTAAGTGCATCCATTTTACATTTGTAATAAAATCAGAAAAGAAAATGACATTTTAAGAAAATCCCACTTCCTTAAAAGAATGTACAAAAAACTTATGAGGTGATCTTTTGATGTATTGCTGCTAACCCTCCGCATATGCAGGTAAAGCATCCATGGAGCTAATTACTCACACATTATTTGCTTCTGCTACTTCCCTGTGCCTTTTCAAACCAGGATTTTTATATCATTGGGGTTGTGTGTGTGTGTGTGTCTGTATGTCAGGAGTGACTTGAGAAACTGCAAATTGCTCCTGGTGTGAGAGAATTGACCATCTGCTAGGATGTTGCGCAGGATGTGCCCAGATATTTGATGTTTTACCATCCTTGTGGGATATCCCCACATGGTAAGTTGGAGCTGACAGAGGGAGCTCAATCCACTCTCCCCGGATTCAAACCACTGACCTTTCGGTCATCAGTCCTTCAGACACAAAAGGTTAACCCATTGCGCCACTGGGAGTAATTGGCATGAGGGGAAGGGAGGAAATCGGACTGGCAGGATGGTTGGGCCCATCCAATACACATAGGCAGGAGAAAGAGGAAAGGGGATACCACATGAGGAGGGCATGGACACACATTTGTTCAAAGAAGACTGTAAGAGAGTACCTGCCCATTCAGTTAGACAGGGGGAAAGGGAAACGGAAAGGAAGGTGGGAGAGGAGGGTGTGCATAAACAAGAGGAGGAGAATGGGATTGAATAAGACATGTGCACATGTTGCTTACTTGTGTATGTGTGAAATAATATAAATATATCTAAATATATTCATGATGTGACTTACAGCAATTGAGAATTTAAATAACAACCAGTACACAACTGCAAGTGTTAAAGGAAGTGCTATATTTTAATCTATTAAAAATAAAATAACAAGGAGTTAGTGTACGAATAAAAAAGATGCCCTAGTGTATAGAAAAGTCTCCTCAATCAAGGAAAAGCAAAATAAGAGGTCTTCTTGGTGAGAATGTTTAAGGAAACTGCTCAATAAAATTAAGACATCCTAAAGCTCATGTAATACAAACCAATCTGATTTGTATATCTCAGGCAAAGTTGTGAATAAATATTCAATTAACCTCTAGTTTGCTTCTCCAAATGTTTTAGAGCATTCCTCCAATTTTTAAGATACATTTAAAATACATACCCAAAGGGACATATTACAAGAAGGCAGTTTCAAAATGTATATAACAGGGTTGCTTTGAGTCTCCTGGTGGAGAGAAAAAGTGGGGTAGAAATTTTGGTCTCCACAGTTTTAGGGGAAACCATTTTCTTTTCAGTAGAAATAAACATAACAATAATAATAATAATAAGTAATAAGTTGGAATTGTCAGAAAATAAAGCCCGACTGCTCATTGGAGGGAAGGATATTAGAGGCAAAGTATTTTGGCCACATAATGAGAAGACGGGAAAGCTTAGAGAAGACAATTATGTTGGGAAAAAAGGAAGGAAAAAGGAAGAGGGGCCGACCAAGGGCAAGATGGATGGATGGTATCCTTGAAGTAACTGGCTTGACCATGAAGGAGCTGGGGGTGGTGACGGCCGACAGGGAGCTCTGGCATGGGCTGGTCCATGAGGTCACAAAGAGTCGGAAGCGACTGAACGAATGAACAACAAAGCCAGAATTGAAAAGTCAAAGACAGATCCCATGTATAAACTCTGCAAGGAAGCACATGAAACAATAGATCACATCTCCAGCTGCTGCAAGATCACACAGACAGACTACAAGCAGAGACATAACACAATTGCTTAGATGATTCATTGGAACTTGTACCACAAATGCCATCTAGAACTGGTGGGATCACACGCCTGAAAAAGTTACAGAAAATGAACACGTCCAACTACTCTGGGACTTCCAAATTCAGACAGACAGAGTTTTTGGAGCACTATACTCCTGACCTCATGATCGTGTTAAAAAACAAAGTATGGATCATAGATGTTGCAGTCCCAGGCAAGAGAAATTGAAGAGAAACAACTGGAAAAGCTGACACAATATGAGGATTTAAAGATCAAACTGCAAAGACTCTGGCACAAGTCAGTAAAGGTGGTCCCTCTGGTGATCGACACACTGGGTGCAGTACCTAAAGACCTGGGCCTGCACTTGAACACAATTTGCACTGACAAAATTACTATCTGTCAGCTGCAAAAGGCCACCCTACTGGGATCTGCACACATTATTCACTGATACATCACATAGTCCTAGACAGTTGGGAAGTGTCTGACATGTGATCCAGTACAACAGCCAGCATAGTGATCTTGTTTGCTGTGTACTAATCTTGTTGTGTTTTAAATAATAAATAGATATATTTCATGCACAATGTATCATGTACAAAAATACATACTTGAAAATACTCACAAATTGATGCAAGAAGAGACCAGTACCAACATTTACAAAACTTTTTTTAAAAAAAGATAATGTTTAGACAGATACATCTATCCCCACCATAAAGTTGGAATGCCTGACTTTATGTAATGCTGATTTTGTATAACAAAGGGATATGTGAGCAGAACCATATCAGTTTTGTCTAATAAAAAAATGGAGCCTGGTATGTGATACATAATCCATTACTATGCTTTAGTATCAATGCTTCTTACTCCCCAGTAAGAGCATTATGCATTAAAAATAGTGCAATAAGGCAACAGTAGGAAAAGTTACCCTGCTGACCGGATCTGGTATGACTGATCCGAGATAGTTTAAATAATTGATTTTAAAGTGGAGATAATTTATTTAGTGTTTATGTATATTTATAGTTTATTTTATGTTCCGGCATTGAGTGTTTGCCATATGTATGCAGTGCTCCACCCTGAGCCACTTTTGGGATGAGAAGGGTGGAATATAAATGTTTTACATAATAATAATAATAATAATAATAATAATAATAATAATAATAATAATGGGAGGATGATGGTGGAGCATTTGTTCTGATCATTACACAATACAGTCTCATATGGATTCCTTTACTAGATGATTTAACTTCAGTGCAGTGTCCACTTTGGAAAAAATGTTGTGGCAAGAAGCCCAAGCATCAAGATTTTGAAAAGGGCATAACTTTGCTTGACAGGCTGACCCAAATTATGTCTTGCCAATATATCCCAGGAGTTGTTGAGCTGAATAAAAAAAATCTTCAACCAAAGAGGAATTGACTAGCTCAGAGATTGGATGATATTGACACTAATCTGAACGGAGTCAGTATACTGATCCTTTTGACTAGTGGCAATCAGAAGAAGTATTGATGCACCTTTAATCCTTTTAATGCCTCTAAAAAGATTGTGAGAAGTTTTTTGAGTTCACATAGGGCAACATCTGGATTGAGCATTTAACCTAATTGTCTGCTGTGGTATCTTCCTCAATCTTTATTGCAGGAGCTCTGCTTTAGTACGAGGGTTGAATGAAAAGTAATGCCTCCACCTTCGTTACTTGGGTTTGGATGGGAATATTTCAATAAATCAAGTGCAGAAATAATCCTTAGAATGTGCTCTTTAACTACCACTATTTTGACATAATCACCAGACAATTGGATACATTTCTGCCAACGATGAACAAGTTTTCTGAAGCCATCACAGAAGAATTTGACACTGTTTCCTCAGGGCATCATGCACAGATCTTCCAATAGCCAAACAAAGCAATAATGTGACCCACACGTTCTTGTGAAATGCTGATTATGCTTGAAATTTCTCTCTGATTGATATGACGATCATCCTGAATCAATCTGTCAACCTTTTGCTTGTGAAACTCAGTGGTTGCTGTCACAGGATGTCCAACTCTTTGTTTATCACACAAGTCAGAAGTTCCCACCTCAACATCTTTAAACTTACTCACCCAACAATGCACAGTACTCACATCAACACAATCACCATAAACAGCTTGCATTCTCTGATGAATCTCCTTTGAGGTGATACCTTCTGCTGTCAAGAATTCAATGACTGCACATTGCTTAAGTTCCATTGACCAACCGTCTGCGCGGGGTCCCATACTTTACACTTTAACAACACAACTGTTCAATGCTAAGGCTTCCCACCAAAATGGAACTGTAGAGGAGAGTCTACTGAATAAGCCAGTGCCTGCCACATACCAGTACTGCCATCTGTTGAGGAGTTACAAAGTTGGAGGCATTACTTTTCATTAAACCCTTGTAGTACTATCTTTTATGGCTATTGTTAATTGTCAGTAACTCAGGATGCCTGTTATTGTCTAGAAAGGAGCCAGTCATCCTGTTCTTTGTAAAGTATAGTGTACAAAAGTTACTATATCATCATCAACATCACCCCACCATCTCCACAATTATTTTGTGTTGAATTCTAACTAACTACAAGTCTATTGATGGGCATCACTTTAAAATTATTAGAGCTTGGGAAAATAATATGTCAAATAATATCATGATGTTATTTGTGATTATAATTATGTTGAAAGCAAAGCCTTCCACACCACACTGGTGACCACTGGCTAACTTTACAAGCTTCTTGAAAAAAGTCACCAATATTAGTTACCAGGCACTAGTATCCTTACAGTTCATGCTGCCGAAGGAAAGGCTATTCAGCAAATCCATTTGGAACATGAAGGAGGATGAATCTATTGCTAGCCCCTTGTGAGAACAGATGAGGTGGAAAGAGGCTAATAAGATTTACTCACCCTAGGCTTCTAATTATCTGCTTGAGGGAGAGGTTTGACCTACCTGTGTGAAGGCATCACATATTTCTTTAAATTTATGTCTTAGCCTTTTATGTTGTACAGTACATAGTCTTTGCCATCCCAAAGATATCTGCTCCTGACTTTTGTATCTGTTTGAACAATGCAGACACTTCAGTTTCATCTTAGGGCAACAGATTTTTCTTCTCTTGTGACTTTTCCAAATACGGCTTTTATTTAAGCCTGTCATTTGTCTTCAGCCTCTCTCCATTCCTCAGAAACCTCATTCCAAGGGGAAACATATGCTTGAAAAGTTTAAAGAAGATCCTCAGATAGTTTCATTTGCTTT